AATCAACTACATCAGCATAAATATAACATAGGAGTATATGGTAAACAAATCTCTTAGGGAGCTCAGTCTGGATGTAAATTCCAGTCTTGTGATGTCAAAAGCCTCTGGTCACGATGTACTTAGCACACTCGTCTTTCAAGCAGCACACAGGTCAAAAATAGAAGCACACTTATTGACTTGGGGCATTCTCCAATTAATGATGCAGCAGATGGACGTAGATGTCTTGGAGGCTCACAATCTGCTCGTCATGAAGATTTCATTCAGAGGTACATGTTCTCAGGCCTGGAAGGCTAGAAGCAGCATGAGGCACTATGCCAATATGAATTTATACAAAGCCTTTTTGGCAAACCGTGACAACATAGGAAAAGATAAGAAACGTTCAATGAAAATGGTGAGTTGATCTCTTGTGGCAGAGTGGGCGGGTGTGTGCTACCACCATGGCTCTCTCCGTGGCCGTACATGGAGGAGCAGCTCCACCGGCACCCCAGGGACACGATTGACCTCCTCCTCTTTCCCTGCAGTATTCTTCTCTCGCCGCTGCACCTCCCTCTCCTCTGTCCTCTCTTTGTCCCTCCTCCCCTTCCTTCACTCTTCCTCATCTTCTATCTCCCCTACAGGGCCGCCGTCGCCGTCAAGACCACCGCTCTCGCCGCGTCTTCAGCTTGCTGCACGCTTTGCGACGAGGTGCGCGCCGGCTGGCGCGGTTGCTGCTCCTCTGCTCCTGCTGAGTCTGGATCGAGGCCCCGCTCCTCGGCTCGAGCTCCTCCCCACTGTCGGGCTCCCTTTCTCCTTCCCTTCACCGACGGGATCCCTTTCTCCTTGCCCCCATCTGGTCATCTCTGAAGATCCCACCGCCCTGTCCTTCCATGGTGTCGTTGATGGCCGAGTGGACGGGGAAGAGAAGGAAGGCGAGGTGGAGGGGAGGCAGCGACGACCACGGGCTAGCAGGCAGGGAGAGAAGCAAAGGGAGGGGAGGGGCGGCGGAAGAGGGGAGAGGAGAATGGGGGGGGCGTGGGGCTCAAGGCAGGAAGGGGATTGGGGGCTAGGTTTTCACCTCGCTCTCGGGTTCTCCAAACGTCGTGGCACAACTCACACACACGCGCGCTGTGACTGAAATGTTGGGCCCGTGTGCAACGATGGCCCAGTCGTCATGCACTGAAACTTGAAGCCACAATGTAAAGTAAAACGTACGACCAGATCTTTGACAGAGAGGTAAAAAGGAGCAAAATTTTGACAGGGAGGTGAATCGTGTGAACCGGATCCATCGCGCGATGCAGAGAGATACAATATCTTGAACAATAACATCGTCTTCATTGGAAGGAAGCAGCGCTGTCAGTATCGAGAAGGGTCACTACACATCAGACCAAGATCTTATTAAAGGAAATAATTCAAAATCCTGGGGAAAATGTAGGATTTACTATTCAACAGCCGAGATAAACACTAAAATCATCAATGGCCACTTTAAGTTTATAATTCTGAATCACCAAGTATATGCTCGTAATAAAGAATACATAAGGTCTGAGTCAGGAGCAAAAAAGAAACATGTGAGATTGGATTTGGAACAAAAAGATAACATATCTATGAAATCAGTTCTAGGCTTTTAATAAAGCAACATTAGAATCAACTACATCAGCATAAATATAACATAGGAGTATATGGTAAACAAATCTCTTAGGGAGCTCAGTCTGGATGTAAATTCCAGTCTTGTGATGTCAAAAGCCTCTGGTCACGATGTACTTAGCACACTCGTCTTTCAAGCAGCACACAGGTCAAAAATAGAAGCACACTTATTGACTTGGGGCACCCTCCAATTAATGATGCAGCAGATGGACGTAGATGTCTTGGAGGCTCACAATCTGCTCGTCGTGAAGATTTCATTCAGAGGTACAGGTTCTCAGGCCTGGAAGGCTAGAAGCAGCATGAGGCACTATGCCGATATGAATTTATACAAAGCCTTTTGGCAAACCGTGACAGCATAGGAAAAGATAAGAAACGTTCAATGAAAATGGTGAGTTGATCTCTTGTGGCAGAGTGGGCGGGTGTGTGCTACCACCATGGCTCTCTCCGTGGCCGTACATGGAGGAGCAGCTCCACCGGCACCCCAGGGACACGATTGACCTCCTCCTCTTTCCCTGTAGTATTCTTCTCTCGCCGCTACACCTCCCTCTCCTCTGTCCTCTCTTTGTCCCTCCTCCCCTTCCTTCACTCTTCCTCATCTTCTATCTCCCCTACAGGGCCGCCGTCGCCGTCAAGACCACCGCTCTCGCCGCGTCTTCAGCTTGCTGCACGCTTTGCGACGAGGTGCGCGCCGGCTGGCGCGGTTGCTGCTCCTCTGCTCCTGCTGAGTCTGGATCGAGGCCGCGCTCCTCGGCTCGAGCTCCTCCCCACTGCCGGGCTCCCTTTCTCCTTCCCTTCACCGACGGGATCCCTTTCTCCTTGCCCCCATCTGGTCATCTCTGAAGATCCCACCGCCCTGTCCTTCCATGGTGTCGTTGATGGCCGAGTGGACGGGGAAGAGAAGGAAGGCGAGGTGGAGGGGAGGCAGCGGCGACCACGGGCTAGCAGGCAGGGAGAGAAGCGAAGGGAGGGGAGGGGCGGCGGAAGAGGGGAGAGGAGAATGGGTGGGGCGTGGGGCTCGAGGCAGGAAGGGGATTGGGGGCTAGGTTTTCACCTCGCTCTCGGGTTCTCCCACCGTCGTGGCACAACTCACGCACACGCGCACCGTGACTGAAATGTTGGGCCCGTGTGCAACGATGGCCCAGTCGTCATGCACTGAAACTTGAAGCCACAATGTAAAGTAAAACGTACGGCCAGATCTTTGACAGAGAGGTAAAAAGGAGCAAAATTTTGACAGGGAGGTGAATCGTGTGAACCGGATCCATCGCGCGATGCAAGTGCGCTAGAACGGCGGGTAACGTAGGAGGCTTTATATGTTAGATTGGGGCTGCGGCGGCGGGGAACAAAGATCTCCGGCGATCGCATGTGACGGGGATGGGAACAGGTTTGGCAAGCCTCTCTGTTCTCTCTCTATATGTAACTTGACTTTGGTCCATCTCTTTCTATTGAGTGAGTCTGTTTCCACGTAACCTAGCACACTAGTTCTGTTGGATCTTCTTCACGTCTCCCTAATAATTCCTTATCCCTCTCGTTTGTTAGCTAGATTATAGGGATTTGTTCACGTCTCCCTAACAACTATCCTTAGCCATTTCTCATCCTTCCAACCAAACAATCAAAAGCGGTTATTCAACTCCTTCAATCCCTCACAACCAAACGACTGAAATTGGCTATCCTCAACCATGTGGTTAAGGATATCCTCAGCTAAGTCGACCTTGCCTACCAACCAAACGCCACCGTAGTGTGATACGCGCCATGAGATTGGATCGCACTGTGATCGTGTGACCGGCAGGAGTAAATTGCTCAAAGCCACCACATTTGTGGCTAGGATACTCCAAAACTACCGCTTTTGCCAAAAATCACAAAAGACCACCACTTCTGCGCCAGGTGAATAACAAAATGCACTAATTCAATACTGAGCGGCGTTAATAGCAAAACTGACGGATAGGACCCACATGTCTGAGCTGATGTGGCGAAGACTAGTACTAGTCAATGTTCTACCTGCTGAGGTGGACAGGGGTCCCACTTGTCTGTCTCACACCTTCTTCTTCCTCCTCAATTTTCTCTCTCCCCTTCTCACCAACTCCACCGGCGGTCAGAGGCTGCACTCAAGAGGCGTGCCCGTCGGCAAGCCTGCCTTGCAGCGCCGTCGCCTCGCGCTAGCCGGCAAGCCTCGCCCCGCTCCCCCAACGCCGTTGCCCCACCGCTGTTGCCATTTCCGCGACCGTGCCTGCGCGTCGCCGATTCGCACCTGCAGCGACGCCATCCCGCATCTGCACCCGTAGCGCCATCGTCCCCGCCCACCACCATCCCGCGTCCGCGCCCGCCCGCCGCCATCCCGCTTTCGCACCTGTAGCGTCGACGCCTCGCACCCGCACCCGCCGGGCCGCCGTCCCCATCTCGAACCCGCACCTGCAGCGCCTCCGCCCCGTCCCCGCACCTGCAGCATCGTCGCCCCGCCCCCGCACCTACGGCGCCGTCGCCCCCGCCCCCTGCCGCCCCACGCCCGCACCCTTAGCTCAAGGTCGTGGCCCTGGATGCCTCGCGGGCTGGCTGGGGTGGTCATGCGGGGACAAGGGGCGGCGCATCCAGGGGTGTCGGGGCCACGCCGGCGCGGGGCGACTGGCTCGAGCAGGAGCCCCGACGGCGGTCGGCTGCAGCAGAGCCCGAGCAAGGGGAGAGAAAAGAAAGGAGGAGGCGTGGGGGAATAGGGCGGCGAGCGGTGCCCTTGTGGCTGGTGCGGCGACTCCTCTCGGGACAGGGGCGAGGTCACGAGCTGACTGGGATTTGAGGTCGCCGGAGCAGACTACATGCGAGGAAGAAGAAGAAGGATAGGGGGAAATAAGATGTGTGGCTCACAGGTGGGACTCCGTCCACCTCAGCAGGTCAACCTATTGACTTGGACTAGTCTTTGCCACATCAGCCCGACGGACAGGCCCCATCCGTCAGTTTTGCTGTTAGACGTGGCTCAGTTCAAAATTAGTGCGATTTGTTACTCACTTACCGCGGAAGTGGTGGTATTTTATGATTTTTGGCAAAAACGGTGGTTTTGAAGTACCCTAGTCACAAATGTGATGGCTTTGAGCAATTTACTCGACCGGCGGAGCGTTGGGCCGGTCGGCCGTATTGAATGATTACCCTGGGTGGGATATGTCTTCCACTGTCCCGCCACCTGCAAATGCAACGCTCACCAACCACGCAGAGCGACGGACTGTGACAGGTGGGCCCCGCGAGGTTTGGTCGAGGCCGACTAAACCACCGCCGCACCCATCATCCCACCACCACCACCACCACACCACTGGAACCAACCTCTCGCCAGTCGCCAACGCAGACCTCAGATCTCGCTCTCGCCTCCTTGCGCAGCCATCGTCGAGAGGAGCAAGAGAATGGCGGCGAGCAACGGCCTCGAGGGTGTGCTCCTGGGGATGGGCAACCCCCTTCTCGACATCTCCGCCGTCGTCGACGAGGCCTTCCTCGCTAAGTACGCGCCGATCTCTCCCGCCCGGTTTCTGCGTTCCGATCTGTTGTTTTGATTTTTTTTTGTCTCCGTTCGCGTTAGTTTTTGGATCTGTACGGTCTAGTTTTGTTAGCTTCGATGGACTCGTTGCCTCTGCTCACCAGATCCGAGGCGACAAAAGGTGCTTGAGTTCGTACGGGCGCAGCACGGCACCAAGAGTCGAACAATAATTTTATTTTTGATGACAGTCGAAATATATGCGCATCATGTCACTTATGCAAAATTATGCAATGGATTAATTAGTTATCTCGCCAATCACCGGCTGTTTCTCTGTTCGCCAATTCCATGCGCGACAGATTTGGCTAGTGTTCCTGTTCTTTGCCGAATTTGTTGGCATAGATCTCCAAATTCTAGTCGCCTGATATGCGCTGTGTAAGCTGGTGCAGTTGACGCTGGAATGCTGGATCAGGGGTTGGACGTAGTGCTTGGCTTTGATGCTATACTGCTGCTTGAGATTATGTAACTTGTGTTGTAATCATGTCTGTGCTGACATGCCATCCTCTGTTTTAGGTATGATGTCAAGCTGAACAATGCCATTCTCGCCGAGGACAAGCACTTGCCCATGTAAGCATCTATGTCGTCACCACCCATAGGTATCCCAGTGCCGTTATTTTTGTACAATGGCATAATTTCTTACCTCAATACTGTGATTTTTGGCAGGTATGATGAGTTGTCCAGCAAGGGCAATGTTGAATATATTGCTGGAGGTAATGTTTTTTTTAACATGTATAGTGTGCTACTCCCTCGGTCCAAAATTCTTGTCTTAGATTTGACTAGATACGGATGTATCTAATACTAAAACGTGACTTGATAGATTCGTATCTAGACAAATCTAAGACAAGAATTTTGGGACGGAGGGAGTATTTCTTTTCATCTTGTTGATTTTTCTCATTGATTATATCTTCTTTTTGATGTTCCATGATGTTCCAGGAGCCACGCAGAACTCTATCAGGGTTGCCCAAGTAAGCTCGAAAGACAAGTAAACCATGACCAGCCAAAAGATTTTGCTAGATCTGTTTGTTTACTTTATATCATATATTCTGCAGTGGATGCTTCAAACTCCTGGTGCAACAAGTTACATGGGTTGCATTGGAAAGGACAAGTATGGTGAGGAGATGAAGAGTGCCGCTAGAGCTGCAGGAGTCACTGTTAGTTCTTGAGCTTTTTTTCGCCTTGCCATTTTATCATGTAAATGTTTCTGTTCTATTGGTTAACAGACTAATGTTGACTTGGTCTTGTAACGTATTCATCTAGGCTCACTACTATGAGGATGAGGCTGCTCCTACAGGCACATGTGCTGTCTGTGTTGTTGGTGGTGAAAGGTATGCCACCTATGATAATACCTCTCTTACCACTATTGTGTTTCCTTCTATTTTGTGGCTTTACACTGTTATATTTGAAATCATTTTTGTTTGATGATTCATTATTCATATTTGTAACGTCTAGTTGTTTTACTAACTTGCTTAATTAAGACCATAACATTACCAGAAAACTTAGTATATGCTCTATGATAGTATGCTGCTATTCTGAATGATGGTGTAATACATCCAGGTTCTCCATAAATTGTAATAGTTGTGTGTGCATCTCGCTTTAATTAGGGAAAATTTTAAACACTGTCAAACATGTATGCCATCTATTGAACTATCCTGTGGTGCATGTCATTTTGTAATTCAATGAAGTTAAGTTTTAATCTTGTCGGGACTTGGGAGGGACGTGTATATGATGAGAACAGTGGACAAAGTTATTTGATTTCAGCGAAGCACTAAGTTTTAAAACGAAATGCCATATAACTTTTGCAAGGTATAAACACACAAGCCTTCACATTGTTTATTTCCTAATTACTTCAATGCGATTATTCTATCCCATACTTTTACAGCATTTAGATCCTGAGCATCTTCTCTAACAATATCTGAAATATATATTCTTTCTATCTGGTCAGGTCATTGATTGCAAACTTATCTGCAGCGAACTGCTACAAATCTGAGCATCTAAAGAAGCCAGAGAACTGGGCACTAGGTATAGTATTTGTTTTGAGCTCTTGTGAACTCTTAGCTTGGATCATGTTCCTCATTGCTGAATTGACGCTGACATCAGCTTGGATAGCTTGTAATCACAGTGCAACGTTCTAAAGAAATGGATTGTGATTCAAGATTTTCTGTTTGGATGTACATATATTGGATAGCTGAAATCTAAAGAATGCAACCCGTTCTAATTTCTGTTTGGATGCCTAGAGTATTCAACTGCAAATTTCTGACTAAGTCATCTCCATACCCCTCATTCTTGCGTACACAACCTGGCCTCCGTCCCCTGGGCCTCATCTCTGTGTCTGTCTGACCGGCGTGGTCGAGCTCCTGGCCTCCACCTCTCTTCTCCTCTCGATGCGGGAGTGCCGTCCATGGTCGAGCTCCTGGCCGCCGTGGTCGAGCCCCTTACTGTTTCTTATGGAGGGCGAGCGGAACGGTAAATTTTACAGGACTTGCAATTTCAGTGCAATACGGAGGTCGGCATCTCTGTCCGAGGGAAAGAGCATGCAACTGTGCAGGAGTGCCGCTTGAAATTGAGCCAAGTTTCCATCACTCAATACCGTGACCATCTAAACAGCTGTATTAGAGGCTTGCGAATACCAATTCATGATTCGGGGGCCGAATATACATACATCCAAACACAGCATTAATATTTTGTTTCCTGAATGACTAATTGAGGTTTCTTTTTTTTGTGTGAAACTGTAGTTGAGCTGTACTCCCTCCGTCCTTTAAAGAGTGCATGCTTCGAACTTTGTTGGAAAATCAAACTTTTTTATGTTTGACCGTATTTCTATAATAATACATCAACATTTATGTCATCAAATTAGTAGCATTAGATTCATTATAAAATATATTTTCATCATATACCTATTTGGTTTCGCAAACATTGATATATTTTTGCACAAACTCGGTCAAACTTTAAAATAGTTTGATCCTCCAACTTTTGTTGGAAGTACACTCTTTGAAGGACGGAGGGAGTACATCATCTTCTACTGCGCTATATTGTTGTAATTTGGTGGATGACTTAATTCCTGACAACCGTGACATTTGTTGCTGACAGTTGAGAAAGCAAAATACATCTACATTGCTGGCTTTTTCCTTACGGTGTCCCCTGAATCTATTCAGCTTGTTGCTGAGCATGCTGCTGCAAGTAACAAGGTAAAGATTCAGAACAGAATAGTTCCTTGTGAAGTTGTGGTCGCCAGTGTTTTTAATTGACCATGTTGTTTCCAGGTTTTCTTGATGAACCTCTCCGCTCCCTTTATCTGTGAGTTTTTCCGTGATGCCCAAGAGAAGGTTCTTCCGTAAGTTTTACCTGCTCTTCTGTGATGCTAAATGTTTTGGACATTATTTGAGATAGTACATGAGCTTAACTCAAAATGCATAAGCAATGTCAAAAGATGTCCCATGTTTGCCACGCGCTAATCTTTCAGCCTGTTAAACTTTGGTAGTTGATGGAGATTTTGGGTCATTTGTTTAAGACATGTTTTGTGTGTATTACCACTTTAGGTATGCGGACTACATCTTTGGAAATGAAACTGAGGCAAGGATCTTCTCTAAAGTCCGTGGGTGGGAGGTAATTACTCAATCCTCGTAAAAATAATTTTCTTTTCTTATTGCAGTGCTGAAAAATTACATGTGTGATTTTGTAGACTGAGAATGTCGAGGAGATCGCTTTGAAGATCTCACAACTGCCTCTGGCTTCTGGGAAACAAAAGAGGATTGCTGTGATTACTCAGGGTGCTGATCCAGTAGTTGTGGCTGAGGATGGGAAGGTATTTTTTTCTTTCTCAGTTGGATGCATGACAGTTGCATCACAGGCTTATCCTTCATTCATACATACTTAGTTATAGCAACCTGCTGGTTTGCAACTGCTTGTTTGAAAGTAAATAACCTATATATTTCTGTTTGATTTTGTCCAATTATTGGCTGTAGGACAAAATAGGAAAATTGTGTATTTTAAGATAGCAAATTCTTTCCTTTGACAGTAAATCTGCTGTTGTGGGCAGATTTATAAAGCAATCTGTTTTCGTCACAATTGTTTGCCTATTCAAATGTCACATCAAAATTTTGATTCATCAAAGAATGGGCACTTAAAACTTCATGGAGAATTTAGTTAAGTCAATTTATGTGAAGATAATATGCTAAACCTAAATATTATTATGTTTTGAATAGGTGAAAACATTCCCTGTGATCCTATTGCCCAAGGAGAAGCTTGTTGACACCAATGGCGCTGGTATGCTTTTTTCTTTTGTATAATGAGTTGATTTAATTTTTCTGTTGCTTCGGAACTAGCCACTGTTATAAGGACACTGCTTTAAAAGTTGCTGTCATTAAATAGTATTGATGGGTTCTAGTTTTCATATATAATATACGACCAGACATGATGAAAAGCCCATGTAAATCTAATACTTATCTTCTTACTAAAATGATGCTATGTACTCCTCCGTAAAGAAATATAAGACTAAGGTAGCGATCTAGACGCTCTTAGAGTTCTTTACAGAGGGAGTATATATCAAAACAATGTTGACGTAAGCTAATAAATAAATTCTCATGATAATAATATTAAAAAGGGACATCTGCACCAGCTGTTAATGGCACTGATTGGTCAAATGTATAATGGAGCTATTTCAGTTCTGCAAGAAATGCCACTATTTTGAGTCACAATTCTTTTTTTTTAGGGGATTTTGAGTCACAATTCTAAGATGTAGAGTTGCATAACATATACAACTATCCTTCCTGATATTCATCTCTAGCATTCACTAGCTGCACAAATACCTGAAACTGAGATTGTTAATATTGAGAATTCAGCATTCATGACAACCTGAGACAGGTGCATGCTTGATGAATATATTCATTAAAAGTGCTGCAGAAACAACAGTTTGATCTGAAATTTGGATAGTGGGTTTCAGTTAGGATTTTCTTGCTGCCCCTGACTTGTTATGCCCCGTTTCTTATTAGGTGATGCGTTTGTTGGAGGCTTCCTCTCTCAGTTGGTTCAAGGGAAGAGCATCGAGGACTGCGTAAAGGCCGGTTGCTACGCAGCAAACGTTATCATCCAGCAGTCTGGCTGCACTTACCCTGAGAAGCCCGACTTCAACTAGACCAAATTCGGCGATGGTACGGAAAGCAACACTTAACCACTTAATGGTTCGGCTTGTTCTCCCTGTATTATTTTGAGGCTTTCTATCTGATCCGGCCTATATTTTAAGGCCGTGGATGTCTGTTGTACTGCTATAATTGGTACCTTAATCTTTTGGTATAAGGCATGGTTGCCATTATATGGGGTGTTACTTGTCGCCGTCTTATCCAAGTATATGCCAAAGCGTGGTCAGACCGACGATAGTGCTTGAATGCAGTGTAACTCATGGACGTGTTTGTTTTGTGAGAAGTATGGCAGAGCGTGGCTACAGGCTAATGTGGCTAATGGCATGTCTGTCAGTGAACCAAGGGCATTATTTGCCTGTCGTGGCTAGAAATAGTGCAGTGCGAATGCAAGTCGCTCCTTGTGAGAAACTGCGTTCAGACCAAGAAGCCCCTGCTGCCTGCTACTCCCTCCGTTCCAAAATAATAGATGACTCAACTTTGTTCCAACTATATATAGTTCGCTGTGCTAGGTTTGTTTCCCTTATGATGACAAACTGCGTGTGTGCTTAACCTTGGCTGACTCCGTTTTAAATAACTGTTGATTGTCCCTACAGCGGCCGCCTCTTCCTCCAAAAAAAAACAGCTAGGGTTTCTGCCTCTTACCGGCGCCGACGCAGGTCTGCCTCGTCTCCGATGGCCCTAGGGCCATAGAGGCACGGTGGATCCTGCCAAGGGCCGGCGGGAGGACTTCGTTTTTAGTCGTTCCTTTCAGTTTTGTTAGGCTTTGTGTTCTGCTCAGGAAGACAAAACGATGACAGCTTCCTGAAGATGGAATAAAGGTCTTTCCGTCTAGCCCCTGTTCCAGCGGTGCGTTTAGCATCGTTGATGGACGTGTGGAGGCAGCGGCGTAGCCAGGATCAAGCGACGACCCGAGCCCTCATGCTACAGTAAATGAACCGTGGTGAATAGTCCCTACAGTCCTAGAATTAACGAAGAAGCTTGCTGCCACGCCCCAGGCCATGGCCAGTGTAGCTTGGGCCTGGCTACGCCACTATGTGGAGGTGTGTCTTCAGCAGATCTATCTTTAGTGGATTTGCTCAGAACTCGTTGGTGTTTGTTTTTGTTCGTGTGTCTTTGGATTGGATCCTTTCGATCTACGTTATTTTCATCTGCGGCGGTTGCAGCTGGTGCGTTGGTCCTATGGGACCTTAGCACGACGATTCCCCGACTGTCTACTACAACAAGTTGTGGCCGACTTCGGCGATGGAGGAGCGATGACGGTGGCGTGTCTTCAGCTTGCTTCAGTGCTTGTAGTCGTCGCTAAGTGGTTTACGGATCTGAATGTAATTTTTATTACTTTTGTTATTCGTTGTACTGCCATGATTGAAGATGAATTGATCGGAAGATTTTCCGAAAAAAAAGAATCAAATGTGTTGTTAGTTTCATAAACTATGTTTTGTTTTGGTTGTGGGGAGGCAGTGATGGGGAATAGAAATTTGAAGAGAGTTGAGGAGGGGGAAGGGAAAAGGAAATTTAGAAGGTCAATTATCACTTATCTTTTCATTGGCCTCCCCCTGGCAATTCACGTATCCCACAATAAACTTCTAAGGGCATGTACAATGCATTGCCTCAAGGTGATGCCTTGCATGCCATGTAGGACCGGATATGACGTAAAGTAGGTTCGGATAGGAAAGCGGGATCCTCTCTAGGAGGCGGGTGCTTGAAGAGAAAAAGTGTGGTCCAATGACGAAAGCTGAAAAGGTTAGAGTGAAAAGTAGAGATGCATATGTACTAGAGTCTCTATTTTTTATTTCTTAATTAGGCCCACTAGTGATAGCTCGCATTGGAGAGAAAAATTAATATAGACGCTTCAAATTACTTTTTGTCATGGGGCATATGTATCCATATGCCATCATGGTACATGCCCATACCGATGACGTTTAACTGACAACCTGTAGCACGCTAACTAACTGACAGTATGGAGCACGTCACTTTTACCTAACTTGGCTTTGGAAATACTCCACTTTTCTTGCTCTAAGCAGTAATAACTATCCACATGTGGTTGATGAATCGATCACATCACTTGCACGTCAAAGGTACGGGATAAGGTTACCGAAAGAGTTTTTTTTAGAACGTGTATGATGGATCAATCACATCGGGCACACATCAAAAGGCATGGGGTTAGGTTTAAAGGGGCATACGGAGGTCAGGTTACCAGAAATGCATCCGGAGATGCACTGCATCCGCGCCGAACCTGAACCTGAACGTACGCGGGAGGCTCCAGCAAAGACCTAATTTCATTTTTGTTCGCTTGTTGCAAAAGAAGCCCCTGGATGTATGCATGATGCATATCCTGTTGTCGACGAGCAAAACCGTAGTACTACCTACCTACCATATCCTGTTGTCGACCTAGTACGTCAGTTCCAACTTCCAACAACTGGTACGGTACTGTCCGTTGCCGTGCGGGTGTGCTCGTGGCCGGTGGGGGGCAGTCTTCGGAGCCACATTCCGGAGGCTCATCATGACTTGTTACCCGTTTGCCTTCTTCATCTCCAGAAGATAAGGTAGGGACAGTGTTGCCAGGCGCGCGAGTGAGTGGCGATACACGCAATACCCACCTCTTAATAACGAGCGCCTTTATAGCGCGACGCAACAAATGACAGGGACGTCGGAGCTAGTACGAGCGTGCGAGGTCCCAATGGGCGCGCGACACACCTGTTCGTTGTTGCTGGCCATGTGTCTGTCCAAGGCTTATCTTGAGGAGACACCGGAGCGCACTGACGAGCACACGGCACATGCATGTTTCCCTATAGCAAAGTTGAAAGTTGAGCAATAGACTGCTCACTCCCTATCCCTTACAGAAACTACTCATAGTTAGAGCATCTTCAATCCGATCAAGTTAATCCAATCCGCTTTGAGATGCTTTTAGGTTAGGCATTGTTCAACTGAGGTGCCGGAGTGCCGGTGTCACTGGGCATAACCGGCAAGGTACTCATGACTTATTGACAAGTTCATACTTTCACTCTAGCTAGGTAGGTCAAGTAGCGCAATGATGTTGCTTAAGATAAGGGCGAGAAACATGTAGGCAATCCCTTCGTTCTCGGAAAAGCTAAGCTAGTACTCTCAGAGCACATATTATGGATCGTAGCGCAATCATGCTGTCCAAGATAAGGGCAACCCAAGGAAGAAGAAGAGATAAGGATCTGTCTCATCACCTTCCTGACTGACGGAAGGATACCGACCGTGCATGTTGGCCGCACCTGCGAGCGCTTTACGTTCGTGCACACCTCCGCTCCGCCAGCGACACGGTGTGTAGCAGCACCACCAGTCCACCACCACGTGTCTTGCCGGTCCGTGAGAAGCACCCCTCACTCAACCCTCAACGTGACATGCCACCCCCCTCCGCGCTGCTGCCCCATCGATCACATGGAGGAGACTCCACGATACAGGGCAGATTCGATGGTACAGAGCAAGGTCTGAGTTTGCATCTATCCGCATACTGGCGTCACCCCAAATTTAGAAGATAAAATAAACAATACCAGAAATTCAATTTGACTTTTTGGAAGCATATGCTCCGGTCCGCCAAAAATACCTTTTCCAGATGTTAATTTCTTTAATAAAATTAGATGTGTTAATTGTCACACCCGAATGCTACTGCAAATTTTTACAGGAAAAGTTTAAACATTTTGACCTGTGTGAAAAAACAAATCGAACGTCAAATATTGCACTTAGTTTTATTGTTTTTGACCGACGAAACATTACTATCCCGTTGCGCATGAAAATTGTCCAACATGCTTTGTTAGACTAACATGAACATCCACATAAAAAATATATTTTTTAAATGTGCCTACTTTTTTTTTAATTTAATGTTCGTCCTGAAGCATATGCTCCCGGAGCCAAAACGGCCCTCCGAAACAATATTTGATACTTCATGTGAGATTCATATAAGCACAAAGGTTGGAAAGATGTCAATGTATGGTAAGAAGAAAGCGCAAAAGCAGTGTGGCTCATGCAACCGTCTCCTTTCCTAAAAAAGTAGGGTTTCTCCGCCTCCCGCCGGCACCATCGCCGGTCCGCCTCCTCTTCAGTGGCTTTAGGGGCATGGGGCCGCGGTGGATCCCGGCCCTTGCCAGTGGGAGGGGTCCGTTTTTAGATGTGTTTGCGAGTTTTGTTAGAGTTTGTGTCCTGTCCAGGAAGGCCAGATGACGATGTCTCCATGAAGATGGAATAAGGTTCTCACCGTCTAGCCCCGTTCCAGTGGTGCATCTAGCATCGTCAATGTGTGTGTGGAGGTGTGTCTCTAACGGATCTGTCTTTGGTGGGTTTGCTTGGATCCGTTCGCCGTTTGTATGTGTTCGTGTGTCTTCAAGTTGAATCTTTTCGATCTACGATACTCCTCAACAACAACAACAACAACAACAACAACAACAGCAACAGCAACAGCAACAGCAACAGCAACAACAACAACAACAACAACAACAAAGCCTTTAGTCCCAGACAAGTTGGGTAGGCTATAGGTAAAATGCATAATAATCTCGCGACCAACTCATGACTCTGGCACATGGATAGCAAGCCTCCACGCACCACTGTCCATCACTAGTTCCTTGGTGATACTTCAATGCTTCAGGTTTCTCTTAACGGACTCCTCCCAAGTCAAATTCGGTCTATCCTGCCCTCTCTTGACATTCTCCGCACGCTTTAGCCGTCCGCAATGCACTGGAGTTTCTGGAGGCTTGCGCTAAATATGCCCAAACCATCTCATACGATAGGTGGTCTATGAATGTGAATGTAATTTTTTTTCCTGGTGTTCGTTGTACTGCCATGATCGAAGATGAATAGATCAAATATTTTCCCACGACAAGAACAGTTGAAAAGATGCCAATCAAACGGCTAAGGATGTCAACTTGAAATATAACCTGACTCACTTGATAGTTTAAAGTAGATGACGTGTTTAATGCACTGCACATATATCTAGTCCAAATTATTTCTGGCAAATTATTATGTTCGGCTTCGTCTATATTGTGTCCACACAATGTTCACACGACGTAATATGTATGTCGTTTGTGGTCATCTAGCATTCTGGCTAAGTGAAATACCGATAAAATTGCCATTGTTTTCTAATGAGAAGTTGCTCAATCAAATCAATCATAATACTCTTTTTCATGGCTTCTCCTTGAAGAAATGAAGTTGATCACTGACTAGTCCACTAGCTGAATTGTTCTTCAATCATGTCCCCCACGTATATAATTGATGTGCCTGCGTAGATGTATCATCACACATCATTTGAAAAAACAACATATCGAATTGATACGTCAAGCCAGCATTTATTTGGACATATCAGGCCTCAATTGGTACAGCGAATACTTCCGTTGAAAGCTGCCTGTTTTCTGAAAGAGATGCGTACACTAATTTATACTAGTACAAAGTGAGTTCTAAGAATAGAAAAACCAGCCGTCCAGAGAATCCCGTATTCCAAGGCGACCATGGTAACATGCAATCTGCCGTAGTACTAGTTCTAAGCACATGAATTCAACATTTCTTTACTTACAAGTAGAAAACAATCACTCTTAGCTCTTAAATTAAGTCATTTGTACTAGTAGTGGTACCGATGAGCGAAGCCATGGTCAATTTTGCATGCTCTCATGTTGACCTAACTAGCGGCGCAACGCCACTAGCCCCAGAACAGAACTGATTACATTTAGCTGCAAGGAATTTGAGGATAATATATAATTACTGTTCAATTTGAGAGTATGCAATCACCATCGAGAAGGTTAGGTCAGGTCAGCTCAACGAGCACATACTCCCTCCGTTTCTTTTTAGCCTGTATATAAGATTTGGTCAAAGTCAAACTTTATTAACTTTGACTAATTTTATAAAAAAACTATCAAGATTCATAATATGAAATCAACATTGTTAGATGCATCATGAAATTAATTTTTCATATCATATAGCTTTAGTATTGTAGGAGTTGATATTTTTTTTATAAAATTGGTCAAACTTTACAATGTTTGACTTTGATTAAATCTTTCATGCAGATTTAAAAAAACACAAAGAAAGTACGTATTTCAATGTAGTGTCAAAAAAGTCTTAAATTATGGGACGGAGGGGTATCTCCCATTGGTCAGGTCATCACTTCGTTCCTATGTGGGCAGAGCACTGATGGCCTAAATTATCGGACGCACATTCTAGAAGGTCGCTCATAAACTGATAGAGGAAGCGCTGAATGAATCCCCGCCTTACACGCCAAGGCAATCACAGAGAGGGGAGGGGGGAGATCGAATAAGGGGAAGGGCCTATCACGTTACTCCCCCCAACCGCTTATACTCAAGGCGTGCGAGGCGGAGGCGCCCACGTTGGACCCGCGCCGTACGTACGTCCCGGCCACGTTCGCCGTACCGCGTGCGCTTCGCTGCCGCCCGGCCGGCTCCACCTCCACATCCACAGGATTCCGGTCTCTTCTTCTCGCTTGCGGACGAAGGTAGCATCGCGGCGAAGAAACCGCGGGCGGCGACAGCTGTCCGAGTACGCGGCAGGGCCCGGGTGGGAATAAGCCGGCGAATATGCTCACCGTCCGGCGGAGGCCACAAGGCTCCCAGACGCGTGACAGGTCGCTGTACCGCTCGTACTGTACGTACTTGCAGAGAAAGGGCGGAGTCGTGGAACGGAAGAAAAGACAGTGCAAAGGGGAGGAAAAACGCCATTTGGATGTCAGGTCATTTTCGTCGAGCCGACGAAGGTCTGGTCTTGATACATGAGAGAGTTGCAGTTGTACTCCTCCTTTTGAGTTGATTGCTCCTTGGAAAATAGACACTGGAGCTTGATCCAAAGAGTTTGAGGCTGCAGAGGAGCGGATTATACAATTTCCATGGTCATTCTCTGATCCTACCTACATAATGTGTCCTCCCCGAGCCATGTGTCATACTCATACGTAGCACTCCCTTCGTTCCTAAATATAAATATATAAGCACATACATATGTATATAGACGTAGTTTAGAGTCACATGTACGTAGTTCATATTAAAATCTTTAGAAAGACTTATATTTGTGAAAGGAGGGAGTACATAACTAGGCTGTCTTAGCAGCTCTTCGATTGTTTCTCCTTGTTTATATTTGTATAAGGAGAAACTCGCATGACAGCCGACTGAAGATTTCGTTGCAACTTGAGACTTCGCGAGTGGAGTGTTTACCTAAAGCTGTTAGAATATCCTCGATACGGCGGGGGCCGGCCGAAAGGCACATAAGCTAGGCTATAGATCATCTTATTATTCCAACTCCATTAGTTTGTACAAGACGTACGCACGCTAGAATATATACAAAACCTCCTTCTGCATCATCCATCATGACATGCAGCATCGCACACAACAAAGGATAAAAGCTGGACAAACACAGGTCCAAGCGGAGCTGCTACTGCTCTTCTTCTAAGGTTCACTCGATCTACTGCCGTAGCGCGATACTACCGTATGTATCTGCGCGGCCTTGTGTACAAAACCGTATTGACATCGTCGGCCGGTGCGTCTCGATCGCCGACTATCTCTACTTCTCTGCGGAGCCGGGGTCCCACGGACGGCATGGTCTAAATCTGCCTCGATCTGCTCTGGCGAGTCTCGGATCCGGTGGCCGTTCAGGTTGGCTGCTCCATCGCCCGGGCTCCTCCGCCGCTCACGATCCACGGGTGGCCTGCATTACAAACATGACAAGATGTTAATTCCTGGATCTAATCTCAGATGAAAACTGCGGTTGGGCATGATTTTTCCGGTTCAAGGACAAAAGATGTAGGGGGTTAGCGCGTGCTTACGGAGAACTTGCTCGGCGGAGAAGCGTCGCCACTCGTCGCGGCACATCATCCGCCTCATCAGGTCCTTGGCGGCCGGAGACACGCCGGAGAACAGCCTCGGCGGGAACCTGACGCTGCCCCGCATCACGGCCGAGAGCACGTCCTTCGCCGTCTCGCCGCCGAAGGGGAGCGCGCCGCCGGAGAGCAGCACATACATCACCACGCCTGCGCTCCACACGTCGGCCTTCTCGCCGTAGTCACCGCCGGAAACAACCTCGGGCGCGACGTAGTGTGGGGTGCCCACGAGGCCCTCGGCGCGGCCGCCGTCGGCGCCGATCCACGCGGCCGACCCGAAGTCCGCGAGCCGCGCGCGCGGGGAGCTGTTTTCACCGTCGTCGTCGACGTCCAGGACGACGTTGTCAGGCTTGACGTCGCGGTGGGCGACCCCGCGACGGTGGCAGAGCGCGAGCGCCTGGGCGAGCTGCGCGACGATGTCCGCGGCGACGGGCTCCGGCACGGGCGCGCCGCGGCGTAGGCGGACCCAGTCGAGCAGGTCCGGGCCGGAGCAGAGGTCCATGACCATGTGGGTCCACGAGTCGTCCTCGTAGACGGCGTGCACCTGCACGACGCCCGGGTTCCCCGCGCCGGCGAGCTGGGCCAGCTTGGGCTCGATCTCCGCCAGCTCCCGGTCGAGGTCGTCGGCGAGGTTGGAGCGGTCGACGGACTTGACGGCGAAGGCCTCTCCGGTGGAGCGCGACGTGCAGCGGTGGACGACGCCGAACCGCCCGCGGCCGATCTCCTCGCCAATCTCGTAGTCTCTGTTTAGGTCTGCACTCATAGTTCAGTGATTTTTCCTGTGATTTTCGGGTTACCCCGATTGGACGGAGGGGGTGGCCTATTTAACGACACAGGCCAACCTACGGGCGAGCGGAATATTCGGATCCTGCCTGTCCGGGACACCGCATTTGCTCCTCTTCCCATTTTACCCTCGAAACTACTTAGCAAACGACACACGCTGGCCGATTTGAAGACGACACTACATCCAATGGTTGTGCTACAGTTTATCCTCAGCATGGATGGTTTGATTGACAGTGTCGTCCCAAAATCGGCTATGCAGCGTCGTCTGTGTAGCAGCACTCTTTTACCCTCTACCAGGTCAGCAGGCCGTGCGGGCTAAAAAAAACAGGAGTTTCTTTTAGGGTGCAGCAAATAAATCTTTTCCTCAAAACAAACATTCCCCAAAAAGGAGAATTAGATGTGGAGAATATATGCAACAATGAATCAGTGAAAGCATATTTATAGTAAATAATCATGAGGCCAGTTGTAAAGTTAAGTAAGCTATAATTTTTACCAACATCAACCTAGGAAAGAAAGAAATCGATAAAATTAGTTTAGAGCACTGAGCTAAAAAATGCAGTGGAAAGTCGTTAAGAAAATTGAGTTACTAGGATGTCTCTTCCACCTTTGCAGAGCAAGGTATAATGTTCCAAAAGTTATTGACCGGTAAGCTAAGGACAAAAGTATACAGATGCCGAGATGCGACCCATTTTATTTCCAGTTTCTACCGAGGGGCTCTCTGGGGAAATAAGAGGACGAATATTCCTCATGAACTGGGGGCAGGGATGGAATCAAGTTCGTAGAGTGCTCTGGGGTGCGTGCAATAGGGGTAGCGATAGACATTGGTTGGGGCGAAGCAAGGATTCCTTTTAGCAGGATTTTCTTTCGAGAAAAAAACCCGGAAAAGAGGACATGGATTATGGATACTGTCAAACATCGCCCACAACATCTGTTGATTGCGGGCCACTCTCGCTTAATGGCGAGGTTATCTGGTGCTGATGCTTCTACAGGTGTACGTACGTGTTTGAGTGGCAACTGGGGCCCGTCAACCAATGATGCAGTCCTAATAATACAGCTGGAAAATTCAAGCAACCAAGAGTTATAACCAAAGAATCATCCAGGAAAAATATGATCTGGCTGAGGGTGAAAAAGAGCACTAGGTAGGGCATACACACAAAATAGCATTCACAGTCAGCAACACGATATCTGACTTCTGTTGCTCCATTTGAAGTTTCTGAGTGCAGGAGTAAGCATGGACTATTTACGTTTTACATTCAGTTCATCAGGTAAGACGGCGTTCTAGAAAAGATCTGTGTCGACGGGTACGTCTACTGTGTGTATACAATAGGAGTACAATACAAGAGGAGATTGCGCTGCAACCACCAGATTAAAATAGGAGGGAATCTGGTTGGGTGGTAGCTAATGACATTGTTGTCTGTCTGCTAACAAAAACAAACCTTGTTTATTGCAACTTGAATCAGTTGATCTGCACTGCACCCACGTCTGGTGGCTGGTGGGGAGACGCGAGACACCTCGACGCAGACGGCTTTAATTCGGCGGGGCCCGCCTCGGGCGGAGGATTAATGGCGATAAGCAGACGCGCCAATGCCCGCCCTAGTGGCCGACTGGCCATGTGAGTGAGTGGGCCAACAGTAACGGCCCCATTCGTAACGGCCTTTCGGGGAGGCCTGCGGCCGTCCCTCGCGGACCCTTTCCGGGCGCCCAAAGCACGACCGAGCGCCACCACCAATCGCGGGCCGGCACGTCGACGTCCGTGACAGGCCCGAGCCAATCAGGCGAGCACACGCGTCCGCGACGTGTGACGGACCGCCTTGTCGCCCGTCCCGGCCGTCCCCGTCGCGGCGATTTAACGGTGACGGCGAGGCGTTTGATAAGAGCGAGCAATTATATAAGGCGTGCCGTACGTACGTGGCCGATGCGCCTGTCCCGGCCGGTTTTGCTTTTGTGAGTCGTACGGCGGCGTGGTGTGGCTGGAGCGCTAGGCAAGGTAGCAGTGTGGTGGACGGATCGTAGTACAGTACTAGCAGAAAAGGCGGTGCGGTGGACGTGGTAGCGCATATTCTTGCGTCAAGTTTATGGATGTGCACGGATCTTCTCGACATGTGAGGGTGCTGTTCGTTCTTGACACCACCGACGCCGTCGCGTAGCTTTGAGACGACTAATGATCGCGGCTTATTATGCTCGGCCGAGGAGCAGTACCAGAATCTGAATTAACTTGGAGATGAATGTGGGAGCAGCAGCAGAATCTGAATTAACTTGGAGATGAATGTGGGAACTTCCTCCTCGTTGTAACATTCATCGATGATCAGCTTATTAAAAATTAATTAGGATCATAGCCGTCGTTGTTAAGCAAAGGACAAATGTTTGGTCCGTGGATAGGTGCCTTCTGTGTATCCTGTCCTCAAAGCAACCAGATGGATGTCTCCAAGCTGTGGTTCAAGCTTATCCGCCAACCAAGTGCACCTTAGGTTAGGTGCCTCACAAAGGGTCGCAATCGAGTACCGCACACCACAACCATCGATTTGCCTAGACTGACGTAAGGCATGACGCACGCACTCTAAGGCTCAGCCACCTAGTGATCGTTAAGAGCATATACAGTCTGACATCCTAGACCCGTCTTAAACGCTCAGGCGGACGGTTCAGTTAGTGACCGATCACAAAAAAAGGACTCACAGAACGCCTCATACAGGCCACAAACATCTCGCTGACCCGCACCCCTCATATTAGCCCAAATATATGGTGAATATGGGGCACCCAGGCGCGCCCGGGCTCATCCGCCTTGTCGTTCCCGGCCCATGCTGGCACACCATACCACATATATTCCCCCCTTCCCCTCATCTGCTTGCCGGACCAGACTCTAGCCACTTCAGTTCACCCCCCTCCGGCAATCTCTGGCTTTCTCCGGCATGGCGGGCAGCGATCCAACAACGACAAGTACAAATCCGTCGACTAGTGTGTCATCCGATGCGGTTTGGAGGAGACAATGGCTGTCTGCATTGCACTCCGCTGCTCCCGAGAGGACATCGCCCGGCAGACGGTAGGATCTATCCGGCGTGAGTCCATTGCGTCCATGCACCGGTCCTACTAGGACCTGTGTGCCCGTCGTGGGAAGGAGAGGATGAGGGCCGCCGAGGCTTTAATCGCTGCAGATGGCGGTGACGGAGGCGGCTAATGCGACGGCGCGCACTGTTGCAGAGGAGGAAGCCATCCGCGTTCGAATTTATGGAGACCATTTCAAATCGAGCCCGCGAGCCTTCGTGTTTGAAGGCTATGGGGGTGTTGCATTCGAGTGTGCTGCATCGGGAACTACTCTCACAAGAGGGAGGTTTCATCTCATCCTCATCCTCCCCATACGCCCCATGTTCCTTCTCTGCCAATGGCGCAAACGACAGACGCTCATCTTGATGGGAAGGGGACGAGTTAATGATGGTTGTTGTGTGCCAGTAACCAGAGGCAACTGGTGCCACGTTTCCCCCCACTTTTTCCCGTTGATCGCCATGTTTTCCCGTCGCCGACGGTTATATAAAGGTCGTCACCATGTTTGACCTAGCTCATATCCCTGCCGCCCACAGCCACAAATTTCGTCATGTTGTTTCCTCCGTGGCCAGATTGAGTGCCACTCTCCAAGGAAAAGAAGCGGATCATGGACGGGGAGTAAACACATGAGGCAGCCACACTCATCGCCAAGGAGGAGGGGTGGGATTGACATTGTCCATATTGAGAGACCCATTGAAATCAGTTGTCATCTCATCTTTTTCCGAGAAAAGAGTGCCTCACCTAATGCCGAGTATAATTTTGAAAAATAAATTTTGTCTCATCAGACGCTATGTCGGTAATTGTCTTTTGCCCCCTAAGTGAAAACTTTGTAATGTAATTTTCAACTTGAGTGTGTGACCATTGATTTGATGCAAAAAAAAAATGCTACCAATATGTCGATTACAACTTTGTGGATCATCTCAGCAGCCTTCAAATTATTATGAAGCACACTATGTGATGACTTTGCTGTAGGTTATATTACATAAGATTTTTTGCGCCATCCAAGGGTAGGTACAATCCAGCCCAACCCAGTCTGCACGGATTGACAAAAGAGTCACGAGTTCGGCTCATGGAAGCGTGCATCAAGAAATAAGAACCAATGTTTTGAATAGCGTGCTATTTAAAATAGCGTGGCCCTTCTCCAAATGCTATACAAGTTATAGCATGCTATAGCGTGCTATATTCAAAATAGAGTTTTAAAAAAAAGCCAAATATATCCCAAAAAATAAGGATTTCAACATCTAATTTTTTTTTCAGGAGCCATACATGCATAACTAATTAAGATGAACAACAATAACAATACAACATAGTAGTTTTATGATGAACTAGATGGAGAACATAACAATACAACAGTCCATAGCGACACATGCGAAATTACTTGTCCAAAAAACTAGAAGGGCAACAACAACTGCCATAGGACGACAATAGTACAACATATCAGTTTAAAGATGAACTAGCCAACAAGGCAACAAGCCAACAAGTAAACAATACAATACAACGACAACTTGGAAATTATTCAGAATCACTCTCATTTGATGAACCAGATGGTGAATGCATGGCATCATCTTCCGATTCAGAAGAAGAACTAGCTGACTCCAACTCATCTTCACGAAAAACAGGGAGCAGTTTTTTCTTCTTCCGAGGGCGAGATTGGGACGCTCTCTTTCTTTTTGATGCACCAACTGCTCCTTGTGATGTTGATGCTGCAACTTCTACAACTTCATCAGGTTCATGAGGCACAATACCCTGTGATCCACTCATTATCTTCATCTTCTACAACATCTACAAATGTGTGGTCCACAATCGGGTCCCTGTTTTTCATCTTTCTCTTTTGTTTGAGTTTGGAGTTGAACTTGATAAAAACAAGGTCTCTCATTTTATTATGAAGCAGCCTGTTGCGTTTCTTTGTGTGAATCTATAGGTAACAGCAACCAAGTAAGCAAC